TAAAGGAACTACAGCACTGTCACATGACTTCACGTCACCACTGCTAAGCTAAAGGCAGCTAATGTTGGGCTTTAAAGGAACTACAGCACTGTCACATGACTTCACGTCACCACCCCTAAGCTAAAGGTGTCTTATGTTGGGCTTTAAAGGAACTACAGCACGGTCACATGACTTCACATCACCACCGCTAAGCTAAAGTTGGCTTATGTTGGGCTTTAAAATTCACCAAAACAAAACTTTTGAAAAACAATGGTAAAAGTAAAACTAAATTAGTGAGTGAAAAATCATAAAATCTGAATTACTCCCTAATATGTTTTTAGACAATATTTTTCTGACGGACAGGAGGTGAGAACATGTGAGTAGTTTTCAAGTGGGGAGAAGATGGTGTTTGTTTGTACATTGTTCTCACACTGTGTGGTCACAAGATGTTGAAATATTGAAGCAGAAGCTAAAGAGCATCAGAGCCACAGACACACTGCGGCTGTTCACTGTCAGAGTAAACAAGGCTGCATCCTACTGATAACACACAGTCAGAACTTTAAAGTATAATAATAAAATAGATATAAATTATATAAAATAATATTAATAATACTAGTAATAATAATATAGATATAATAATTAAAATATAAAAATGAAATAAGTTGTGCAATAATAATAATAATAATAATAACATCAAATAAATATAATAATACACAATTTAATATATTTAAAAATAATAATAATCCCAATAACACTAAAAAGATTTAAAATATAATAAGACAAATTAAAAATGAAATTGTTATTATTTGTTATAATAATAATTTAATATTATACATAAATTATTAACATATAATGGAAAATAAAAACAGAATAATTCTTATTAAAAACTAAAGTTTTAAATATATATATAAGAACCCATATTTCCATTATACATCAAATATCACTCCCGCAGCATTTAAACGCCTCTATTACTTGTTTCTTTTTTGACCTTTTCTTTCTACTTCAGTGGAGGACACTTAGATTTTTAAGACAGAATCTAAAGAGGTATGTCTCCTGTAATGCCCCTTTATAAATCAACACTCCTTATGACATTTAAAATAGTGTTTAGCGGAGACGTACGGCATGAAGCTGAGTCCGGGGTCGACTCGCAGAGCTTCTCTCTCACGGACGTTTGTAGAGTTGATGAGTCCTTCCTCTCCGCTGGAGTTGTGTCTGACTCTGTAGAACCCCTTCTTCTGGGGAGGAGCAACAGAGGTGTTAAATGAAGGAACGTTTAAAAATACTAAATGATATATCTGTACGAGTGCAGCTCCTTTTAAAGCAGGCATTACCGTGCTGGTGTGGATGATGGTGAGGATGTCCCCTTTGTGGTAACACAGCTCTTCAGGCTTTGGCTTCTTGTGATCTCCCTTAGCCACACACTGAGTACCAGCAGCCCAGCTCATCTACAGGAGCAGAGGGACATAATAAATACACATTAAATTACAATAAATACATTAAATTAAAGGATTACAATTAAAACATAAAAAAGTATAATAATAATAAAATAATAATAATAATAATAATAATAATAATACAATAAAAAGGTTGAATTTAGGTATAATAAAAACAATTTTAATATGAAAAATTATTAAATAATAATAATAAAACAAATTAAAAAAGGTTTCATATGATTAATAATAATAATACAGATAATAAACCTATAAATAAATACATTATTATTATTGTTATTATTTCAAATAACTACTACTTTTAATAACAACAATTGACTTTACAAATACTGAAGGTTTATCATAAAAAAAAAAAACATTATTGGGAAACTAAAATCTAGTCATATGTACGTTTTTCAAGAGTTATTCAATGTTTAACCCTGCACTGGATTGAATAAAACATCTAAAATAATATGTTTTAAAAAGAAGAAGAATCAGCTGTGTGCTATCCCACCACGTCTCCCCTAATAAATAACAACACATACCTTTGCCATGAGGCTGGAGGGAAGCATGAATATTCACACCTGTCGAGGAGGGAAAATGTCCCTAATTAATAAGAAACAATCAAATAAAGTCCATTAAAGCTTAAAATAGAGTCCTTTGGAGAAGCAGTCCCCAAGGCAATGTGGATCCAGAAACACAATAAGCAGATATGCAGCACAGTGTTCCTTTCGCAGGGATTTAAAGTACATTTGAAAGAATGCTTGTTCAGCCTGCTTCATGTCCGCATGAATGTTTTATTACCTGCAGCTCAGTGGCAGCTGGGGACACACTCCTGCAGAAACCCTGCGGAAAACACCAGCAGAACCCCGGCTCCCGGTGTCAGTCAGCGGTGACAGGGCTCCATTATAACAGCCGACCTTTCCCTCACAACACTCAGCATGCTCCACCGCTGATGTTTGTCTGTCACTTCCTCAATGTTTCAGAGGAGGATGATTCATATTTCATGACGCCACGGCCATGACTGACTCGTGACTCCTGCTCCCAAAACCCCCTGAGAATTGTATCAAATGCATCATTTTGTATTCACATTCACCCAACAGAAGTAAAATCACAAGTTTCTACCATTTGTCTTGAAAAATATCGGTATATTTTTTTTGATTAGCGTTTTTTTTGCTAAAATATTGTCTTGTTTATGTATTATTGTTTTATTATATTTATTAATGTTGTCTTATGTCTGTAGGCCTATATCTTTTACCGAGTTGTTCATCTGTTGTGAACTTCTTTGTTATTATATTTTATTTATTCTCTTATTAATCAGTGTTGGAGAGAAACTAACTGTATTTCACTCATTCGTTTCCTGACACTTGTAGTAAAACAATTATCTCTCCTTTATTTATTTGATAGTTATTTTAAAGATGTATGGTAGCCTAATAATACAAAAATGTAATATATCACATCAATTATCCTTCATTATTTTAGGTTAAGATACAACTTTACTGATGTCTTGGTGAAAATCACAAGCTACATAGCAGTGTAGTAGGCATACTTGTGTACCATTCTGTGAATGGATCTGGCCCTTCGTACATCCAAGACATGGTTAAACCTAACCATTCATCCCAGCACGTGAACTCCGCTCTGCATCGGCCAAACGGCTCGCTGCACCCGCACTGCGAGGGGGACCCAAGTTCCCATCAGCAAAAACACTTGGGTTTGCTATCCTGGCTCCAAAATGGTGGAATGAGCTCCCCATTGAAATCAGGACAGCAGAAAGCTTACACATCTTCCGGCGCAGACTGAAAACTCATCTCTTTCGACTCCACTTCGAGCGATACAATTACTAACAAAGCACTTATACTAACAAAGGGCTGGCTTATCTAAAGCCAGTGGAGTAGCACTTGAAATGTTTTGGCTCTTGAAACCTGATGTACTTATATTANTACAGCTCGGTCACATGACTTCACGTCACCACCGCTAAGCTAAAGGCGGGTAATGTTGGCCTATAAAGGAACTACAGCACGGTCACATGACTTCATGTCACCACTGCTAAGCTAAAGGAGGCT